TTAGCTCAGGGGTTCTACTGTCTGCCTTGCAAGCTGACAGTTCTGAGTTCAAGCCCCAGTACCTACACCAAAATGAATAAATAAAAGGGCTAGGATGTAGCTCAGAGTGAAAGCCCTGGTTCGAGATTCACAGCAAGAAAAATAAATAAATAAAACATCAGGTGTGGTAACACACCTATAATGCCAGCTACTTAGGAGGCTGAGGCAAGAGGTTCACAGGCTTGGCTGGGTGTGGTGGTGCATGCCTGTAATTCCAGCACTCAGGAAGCTGAGGTAGGAGGAGCGCTGTGAGTTCAAGACAAGCCTGGGCTACATAGCAAGTTCCAGGTTAGTCTCAACTATGTAGTGAGACCCTGTCTCAAAAAAACCAAAGAGCTTCACAGGTTTGAGGCCAGTCTGGTCAATTCAGTGATATCTTAACAAACAAACAAACAAAAAATGCTAGGGATAAGAGCTCAGTGGTACAACACCTGCATAGCATACACCAGGCCCAGAGTTCAATACTGTACTGCCCCTTAAAAAAGAAAAAGATCTTTAAAAAAATTAATTCATGTATTAACTTACTGGGGTTTTTTTAGGGAGGAGTCTGGGTGACTGAACTCGGGACCTTGGACTTGCGAGGCAGCAGTGTCACCACTGAGCTAAATTACTGGCCCACTTACTAGGTTTTTTAAGACAGGGTCTTCTACATAATTCAGGATGGTTTAGGAATTGCAATCCTCCAGTCATGCCTCCAGAGATTATGTGCATAAGCCACCATACCCAGCTGGAGAAAGATAATTTATTAGTCTTTGGAAGCCAGGTGAATTCAAATTTCCCATCACTGATACACGTAGCAAACTGTGAGTATCCAATTATCAGAAAGGAAAAGGAAATAGTAAGATGCTTGATACACTCAGTCTAGGGTTATCAACACAGCAGAGGGGAAACAACCAGTTTAAATTTAACAAGTTTTCCAGCCCAGCAAATATAGCTGTACTGCCCTCATGAATGCCCACTGAGCTAGGTATGGTGGTGCAGTCCTGTAATCCCACCTGTTGGGAGGCTGAGGCAGGATGATCATCACAAGTTTGAGGCCAGTCTGAACTACACAGCTAAACCCTGTCCTAACACCAAAGAATATTCCCACTGGGACAGCAGGCAGCCAAGTCTTCTTTTAGAAACCAAAATCAAAATCACCTACTTATAACCAAACATTTACGATGTTAAAGCAAGACTGGTGATGAATGCGTCCACTTTCCGAGGATGTCCAAGTGGCGTGCGCAGCAGGAACTGCTTTGGGTCTGATGTGCTCCTGGGCTGGGCTTCTGGCAATGACTGATGCCCTGCAGTGTGTGCTGCAGGGCTGGGGTACAGGCAGTCGGTGCATCTCCACTGCCCCCTTCTAATTTGTGACAGGTTCGGCAAATGCAGCCCCCAGTCAGAAGCATCTGCATGTCCATGGAAACTGATGAGCAGTGTGCTCTAACCTCATTTCTGGGTGTTCTGTGAGGTGCACACTCAAGGAAACAGGCCCTGGCCACGGGTGTGTGTGTATGTGTGTGTGACACACACACAGATGGCAGATGGCAGAGGTGGTTTCTGCAGACACAAGGCCCTGGAGTGGATGCCATTTTCCAAATAAGACATATTCTCTTGCAAGCTCAAGGACCCGAGTTCAATCCCCGGTACCAAAAAAAAAAAAAAAAAAAAA